GACTCATGAGCAGAATTATTCCACTCATGACTTAGAGTTGGCAGCGGTGGTCATCGCACTTAAAGTGTGGATGCATTATCTTTATGAGATTCAGTTTGAGTTGTTTACAGATCATCAGAGCCTGAGATATCTCTTTTCTCAAAAGGAACTCAACCAGAGGCAGAGGTGATGGGTTGAGTTCATTAAGGACTACGAGTTCGCATTTAGTATCATCCGAGAAAAGTGAATGTCATAGAAGATGCTTTGAGCAGAAAGCGTCGTTACAGGCTTGCAGCTTTGACGTGCTCATTGTAGCTAGACCTTCTTACCCTCAGTCAGTTTAATTTCAGACTAGAGGTTGGTGGATGTAGTGCATTCTTGGGAACGTTAGCAATACAGCCATTGTGGGTTAATAGAGTGGTCAGCGCTTAATTGGTAGACCCTTGGATTCAAACCCGAAAGGAGGATATTTTCAAAGAGCCCAAGGCAGATTGGACCATCGAAGTAGATGGAGACCTTCGGATGAGTAGTAGGTTAGTAGTGTCAGATGTTCCGCAGTTGAAGAAATATATGTTTGATGAGGCACACCGTACCAGGTATACTATACATCTAGGCACAACCAAGATGTACATGGACTAGAAGAGGCACTTTTGGTGGAACGACATGCATAGGGATGTTGCAGAGTATTTCTCTAAATACTTTACCTGTCAGCAGGTGAAGGTAGAGCATCAAAGGCCAGCTAGTACCATACAACCCTTACCCATTCCTGAATAGAAGTGGGCAGATATTTCGATGGACTTTATTGTGGGTTTGTTGAGGTCTAGCAAAGGAAATGATTCTATTTGGGTGATTGTCGATCGACTAACAAATTCAGCGCACTTCTTGCCAGTTAAGAAAACCAACATTGTATAGACTTATGCAAGGATTTTCATTGGGAGATTGTGAGATTGCATGGAGTTTCAAAGATGATTGGATCAGATCGTGGCTCAGTATTCACATCCTATTTTTAGAAGAGTTTTTAGAATTCTTTTGGCAGTCAATTAGCCTATAGCAGTATTTTTTACCCGCAGACAGATGGTCAGACATAGAGAGTCAACCAAGTATTGGAGGACATACTTCAAGCATGTGTGATTGATTTTCAAGGTAGTTGGGAAGATCATATACCATTGATTGAGTTTCCTATAACAATAGTTATCAATCGACTATAGTTATGGTTCCCTATGAGGCATTATATGGGAGGCCCTGTAGATCTCCGATTTATTAGGCAGAGCCAAAGGATAACTTAATGCTTGTGCCAAATCTTGTAAGGCAGACCACCGAGCAGGTAGCATTGATTTAAGAGCGTATTCTTACAACCCAGAGTCGGCAGAAGAGTTAGCAGATCAGAGGCGACGACTCTTAGAGTTCCAGGTTGGAGTCTATATCTTGTTGAAAGTCTCACCTATGAAGGGCGTCAGATGGTTTGGTAGACCTGGAAAGCTTGCCCTGAGATATATCGGTCCATTCAGGATTATCGATCGTGTTGGAACCGTCTCGTATTGACTAGACATTCCAGCGTTGATGTCGGATGTGCATGATGTCTTTCATATTTTGATGCTCAAGAAGCACTTACAAGACGAGAAACAACAAAGAGTGTTTGATGTGCCAGATTTAGAGCTTCTGGCGGACTACAGTTGAGACTCCTGTCTGCATTCTTGCCAGGGAGGACAAGAAACATCGTAATAAAGTAATTCCATTGGTTAAGGTGCAGTGGAACAGGAAGGGATTAAGGATGCTTCCTGGAAGCGTGATGAGGATATGCATCGCGACTATCCACATCTGTTCAAGCAGGTATATTGCTAGTTATAATATTGATGGTATTTATCTTATCTATATAGTCGCATTTATACTTCATGCTAGAATGTGAGTATTAATACTTAACAACTAACCATTCGGAATATATGGAATATACATGGGTGGTTCCTTGTTTGGATTTATCGCCCGACGTACTAGTTCTGTTTAATTAGAGGTTAAGTGGGGGTATTCATATTCTAGATGTTAAGTGTAAGTATTTCATGCTTGATCCATATCTTATGATTAATGATACAAGATGTGTACATGAGGGTTTCCTAGTTTGGATTATCCCCTCAACATACTTTTCTCGTATTATTAACCTCTAAGATGAAATTGCTGAATTTCGAGGACGAAATTCTCTTCAAGGAGCGGTAAATGTAGAAGCCTAAAAATTTAAAAAATAACTTTAAATGATAATAAATAGGTTTTATTATGGTTAGTGATCATTCTGGGATGAATGGACCAGATTGGAATAGATTTGAGATCAATTCGTAATTTCAGCCTCAGTATCGCGTGTCTGCTAAAAATTGCTAAATTTTTATTTTTTAGTAATTTCTTTATTGATCAGATGAGCACAAGGATTGTGTCATTGACCTTAAAATGTCGAGACCGTGCTGTGGTACAATTTCTATTGGGTTCTGACGATGGAGACTGAAACCTAATTTTCTAATTGCTAAATTTTTATTTTTTAGTAATTTCTTTATTGATCAGATGAGCACAAGGATTGTGTCATTGACCTTAAAATGTCGAGACCGTGCTGTGGTACAATTTCTATTGGGTTCTGACGATGGAGACTGAAACCTAATTTTCTA